TGACTAAGAGATCTGAATATTTATTCACCATTTTTAAGGTATTGTAGCTTTGCAAACCCAAACTTCCTTTTCTTGTTCAATATATGGGCCATGTGGTTCTGTTATTCATGGTCAATTGCTTGCCTTTATCAAAGGCTTGCAAATATCTTTAACAATTTGTTGTTTTGTTGTTTTCTCTGCATCGCTGTTGATCTTTGGAGTGCCTGTGCTATGATTTTATTTATTTAAAGGATTTTATTGGCTTCAGATTTTGCTGTGAACTGTTCATTCTTGAGCAGTTCCAAATATTGCTGTATGCTGCCGTTTTGTTGTTTTGAGAGTGTCCTTTGCCTTACAGAAATTTTTCAGTTTCATATTGGTGACTACCCTAATTGTTAACAGAGAGCCTTTCTCTCGTAACTGATGGAAACAGATGCAGAGATCCATAGGCAAGCATTGTACCAAACTCTGGGAGTCAATTTGGAGGAGAGATTTATGAGCAAGGGGGGTTAGGTTCATGAAGGGGAAACCCACAAAGACAGTTTTCCTGAGCTAGTGGGAGGTTATGTACTCTGGTACAACAGCTAGGGACTCTGCATGAAATCAAATAGACCCTTTGCATGTGGATGGCAGCTGGGCAACTTAGGTTGCTTGGGGTGCCCCTAGCAGTGGGATCAGGACCTGTCTCTGATGCATGAGCTGGCATTTTGGAATCTATTTCCCATGCAGGGATACCTGCCCAACTGTGATGCAGAGGGGAGAGAAGCTTGGTCCTGCCTCAACATGATATGACATGCATTGTTGACTCCCATGGGAGGCCTACCCCTTTCAGAACTGAGGAGGAGTGGATTGGGGAATTCATGAGAGGTGGGATATGAAAGAGGAAGAGAGGAGAGAAGAGAAACTATGGCTGCCACATAAAATAAATGAAAAAACCATAAAAAAGAAAAAAAATGATATGCTTACTTTAAGGAACTAACTTTTGAAATGGAAAAATAATAGGATTTCTGTTATTTTACTATTTGGCACAGAGAGTTTTAAACTGTGAAATCATTGAAGAGCATTATTTTTTACTTTTGCTAATTTTAGTTGTTTGATGAGTAAAATTTAAAATCTAGTTAATAATCAAATTGTAAAGTGAAAAGTAATAAAGGAAAGAAAAATATGACAAAAAAACAAAACATAGTTTCTCAGAAATGGGAAATGATAATGGGACCTTTTTGTAAAATTACTTTTTAATTTTTAAATTGTAATTAAAACATGATTACACTCTTCCCCTTTCCTCCCTCCACCACCCAAATTCCCTCCCCTCCTTTGAACTGCTCCCAAATCTTCATCACTTCCTCTCAAATTGATGGCCTATATTTTATGATTATGATTGTGAAATCACTGCATACACACACACACACACACACACACACACACTTTGCTTAGTCCAATTAGTATTAACTGAGTATATAAGATGTCAGAGCCAATTACTGTGTATTGAATAGCCAATTAGAGGGCTCTCTCGGCAGTTGTTAGTTGCCTATAATTCTTTGTCTGAGGGTAGGAACCCTGGGATATTCCTCGTTCTTTCGTATTATATCTTTTGGTATCTTCATTTCTCATATCTTTTATAGGCAGCCACAGTGTTAAGGTATCATGAGTTTAGCTTTGCACTCCTTTCTAGGCAGCACAAATTTACATCAGACTTCCTGGTCTCCTGGCTTTTGCAATACACCATCCCCTCTTGAATAATGTTCCCTGAGGTTAAGGTGAAGGAGTTATCTTATACATGTATTTCTTGGGATTTAAATTGCCATAATCAGTTGAGTTTCTGTATTATAATAATTTGGGTTTTCTGTAATGGAAATAGAGCTTCTTTGGTGAGAACTGAGAGTTACACTGATCTGTGTATATAAGAATAATTTTAGAATGCTGTTGGAAATTATACTGTTTAGTAAAATGTCCGTAATAGGTTATCCTCTAAGAATGATAACTCCACTAGTCTCAGATTGTTTGCCAGAATTCTAGTACCAGACATGGTTTCCTCCTTCTTGAGTGGGCATTGTGTACAGTTTTATTGCTGTTGGTAACTACCAAGATATGAATACTACTTTTGCACCTTTAGAACTATCTTGTCATGTTCGTTATTTTTATTGTTCGTACATGTCACAGATAGATAGGACTATTAATTTCTTCCCTCTCATTATTTTGCTTAGTACCTCCACTTACTATGAAAGTTAGACCAAGAAAGAATGTATTCAGGATAGAGCAAATCTTATGTACAAACCATGTAGTACATTTAATAGTAGACACTTAATTTTTACTTGTAAAAGGCAACAAAGAGTGTAAATAATAGTCTATATTGTTTTCAGAACTTCTTGTATTACCCTGTTCAACCACTTGCTTTCTCATGTATGGTACACAGATTTTTGAAAGCCTTTGACCTTTCACCAAAGTTTGTTAGTTTAATTTAGAACTTTTAAATAATTAGTAATCTAGTCCAGTGCTTGGGCTTCCATTTTTGTTCTCTCTTCTTTAATAAATGGAAGACAATGACTCTTAATTTCTGTATGTCTACCATCCAACTTAATACCTATTGATTCTGTCTTGCTTTATAAATTTCCTAATATGTTATAGACAGCCCTTTACCCAAGTACTTCAACTGAAACCGAAATGTCTTTCTCAGTTGCCTCATACATAGCACTTTATTTGGTTCAATTTTTAAGTCTATTCTTAAACATCTTTGGCATGTTCTTTTCTTTAGATAACTTCCCGAGAAACTCCAATAACAATGACCAGCACATGTGCTTGGGAACCAAACCCAAGTCCCAAGTCCTCTGCAAGAACAATAAGAGTTCTCAACCTCTGAGACATCTCTCCAGGCATCTCTTCAGAGTGCAAGTTAGCCTATATGCTAAGCACAATGCAGAAGTGTGCACAGATGAATGTGCCCAGTTACCGACCGAGGTCTGAGGTAAGTACTTCCCATTTAGGTGTATTTTTAAAGTAAGTTTTCTTGGGATTTCCAGTAGAATTTCATTGTTCTGTATCATTTTTTCCCTCTTTTCCATGGGGAGAATGCTGCTATTTAATTCTTTGCTTTGGCTGTATTATTTTAGTCTGTGGAACAGATGGCTTTTGAATTACTGAGATTGCTCTTGAGAAATGTCTTAGGAAGTATAAACTTAGTCAAGAAAATCTTTACAGAATTTCTTTTTTTATGTGGACTTCATAGATTTAGTTCGTGAGACCCAAGTTTTTATGTAGATGGCAATTCAAAAAGTTTAAACAGGAGAAATTCAATATTTCTTTAATTTTTAATTAATAAAGCATATTAAAGGAAGCTGAAAATGTTTAGGTAAATGAATGACATTAGTGAACAAAAATAAAATTTTAAGATGAATTGAAATTAGCTCAGGGAAGCACAAGAAAACAATTCTAATTCTCACCAACTCATTCATTTTTTTCTTAGTTTCTTCACAAACAAATTACCTTACACTTTTAGAATGAGTTTATCATTTCCACATCTGAATGCTGGCTAGTCTCCTTTTTATCCTTTTAACCCTCTGTTGTTCACTTTTCATAACACATACCAGTTATCTCCCTAAATCTTATAATCTGTTTTTCATGAGATTCACATGATTTAAAATTTCAAATGACCCAGATTCAAGGACTGGCTTTCTTGGCTTGAACATTTGAATAAACTTGAAGTTCTAAGTTCCTGGACACTGCCCATAGATAATTACAAAAGTGGAATAGGAAAATTTAAGAAACAAATGCTGCTGTCCCTTAGGCAGACTTCCTGCATACCAGGGTATCCAGGAGACTCTGTCAATACTTCCTTAGTGGCAAGCAAAAACGAGAAAACATAAAGACATTTCCTCACCATGACTAATATTCCTGAGTTCTTTATCCTCTCAAATAATTTTGTTGAAGATGTCCTAAAAAGTGAAAGATCCCAACATCACTTCATTCATCATAACAAGACAAAAAAATCTGTTTTATTTTTCCTCTCTCTCTCTCTCTCTCTCTCTCTCTCTCTCTTTCTCTTTCTCAGTATGCCTCTTTGACTTGCTCACAGAATTTCAATAAGCCATTATGAGTTCTACCATTGCATTTTTTGTATGTATGTATTCGAACATGTATGTGTGCGTGTATGTATGTGTATTTTTAAGTTTGAGGATTTATGAGTGTGTGTTAAAGTGTGCATGCATGTATGTGTCCCTGCCTACAATGGAAGGAGGCCAACCTTGGGTATTATTCCTCAGACAACCTTGGATGTTATTCCCCACAAGGCGGCATCTTCCACTTTTCCTGGAACTCATCATTTAAGCTATACTGGATGGTCAAAAGCTCCAGAGACACCCCTGTATCTACCTATCAAGTGCTAGGAAATCAAGTACACACCACTATTCCTAGATATTTATATAGGTTATGAGGACCAAACTTGCATAATAACCACTTTAACAATTGAGATATCTTCTCAGACCCACCACTGCTTTTCTTTTTGCCTTATGGATTTGTGTGTCTACTTTGTCATATGACAGCTCAGCTTACTCCCCAGGCTAGAAAAGCTCCTGGTCTAGTGGTTATTCTGACACGTGGATGATGGAAGGCTTCTTCCCAAATATGAGTAGTTTAAGACCTCACCATTTTTCTGTTTTCCTCTGTACTCTCATGTGTTTCTACTTTCAAAGATTTATCTCCAAGCTGACCTTTTCAAGCAGGATTGCCTCCTACTCTATTTTGTCTACATCTTGACAGGTGATTGAGAAGCAACAACTTATTAAAATGGTTTAAACTCCATAATTATAGAATCCAGCATGGAATGTTATAACAGACATGGAAACAAAAAGGGAAATAATTTTCAATTATCCACCCACCGTGAGATGGCCTCCATTGTTCTTTTTTTTTTTTTTTTTTTTTTTTACAGACACCAGCAACATAATTTAATCCAACACATAAGTTCCGAATAAGCAGGCGCTATGGGCAAGTCCTTTTCATCCTGACAGCAGACTCCAGCCAGGGGCTGATCCACCTGTAGTCAGGGAATATGTTCATTCTGACAGCAGACTCCAGCCAGGGGCCGATTCACCTATAGTCAGAGAATATGTTCATTCTGACAGCAGATTCCAGCCAGGGGCCGATTCACCTATAGTCAGAGAATATGTTCATTCTGACAGCAGACTCCAGCCAGGAGCCGATTCACCTGTAGTCAGGGAATATGTTCATTCTGACAGCAGACTCCAGCCAGGGGCCGATTCACCTGTAGTCAGGGAGTATGTGTGGCTCTGGAGCTGATCTGAAAACATAAACATCTGTGCTCCAGCACAGCCTGGGCAGGGCTAGGCTTCAGCGAACAGCAATGTAAGTTCGTGCACAGGGGTGGTAGCAGGGCTCACTTTATGGAAAGAAGTTCTCAAAGAGAACGCATCACATCCAGTGCCCATTTCCCTTCAAATTTTGTAACTTAAGTCAAGTTCCATGGAAATCTGGGGTGGATATTAGACTACTTTATCAGTGTTTCTAACATTCAAATAAAAAATGTTATAATTTGAAATTTTACTACATATATTTTCCAACACAAATGCCACCAATCACTCCCCACAACAGATACAGGACATCACCTCCCACAGACACAAAGACTCTGACATCAACCTCACTTTAATCACAGGTAGGACTGTACTTTGGAAACCCTGGTGCGTGATCAGTGCGTGCTCACGTGGAGGATCCTGGAGAAGCGTACATCACTGCTCAGAAAAGCAGAAGATGACTTTGTACAAATATTTTGGAAAATCCTCAAAGTTACGTAAGTAGTACCAACACAATTTTAGTACAGTTTGCACCTCAGGAGGCACTGAAGCAGGGGTTCTCAGGAATCTGGGTACTTCATAACGGCCTCCTGGCTCCCAACAGACAGAGGCCGCGTCTTTGGAGTAGAGTTGGAGGCTCCCAGTCTGCTCAGTCAAGGGTTCCTGCCCTGCCGCCAGCAGGTTCATCGCTCTCTTTGTCCCAGTCCTTCATACTGGCTCCCATCATGAAATCATCTCGCAGAATCTTCCACCCTGGGCCCTCTTCTGATTTCGCTTCAGTCTGTCTGGCTTTGGGGTTCTTCCCAGCAGAACTGTTCTCATTTGTACCATCCATTCCTCGAAGAACACTGATGAAATCCTTCTTGAAAACAGTTGACATCAACTTAGCTTGCTTCCTGATGGAGCCTCCTGCTTCCTTAACCTTTTCACCAACATTCTTTTGGTGTTTCTGAACAGCATTGAATAACTGCACCACACCCCTCGTTGCAATCCTCTGAAGGTTCCTCTCTGCCTCTTTGTCTTGGACAACATCTGGCTTCACTCTGCACAGCATCTCCCACTCCCGCTTCTTATCAAGCTGCTTCCTTTTCTCCAACCTCTCCTGCTTTAGCTTCTCCTTCTCCTTCTCCAGCTCTTTGTTTTTGGTGAGGATGGTGGGTTTACTTTTAGGAGTCTTTTTGTTAAGGATTTTGGCCATGGCATCTGCCCAGCCAGAATTAGTCCCAGCACTTGGCTCTGCAGCATCTTCATTTTCCTCCTCACAGGACTCCACATTGTCCTCGCTGTCGGCTTCTGCTGCGCCATCATCTGAGAACTGGCCCATTTCTGCATCACAGCTTTCTACCGAACCTTCCCCGTCAGAAGAGTCTTTGAGCTCATCTTCCAGATTCGAGATTTCAGCCTTGGCTACCAGCTTCATCTTTCGCTTCTTCTTCAAGGAACGCTTCAGCTTTTTCCCCGCGCTCACACGTGAGTCTTGAATGGTCGCAGCCATCTTGACCCGCCGGAAGTGCCGTCTGATCTCCATTGTTCTTATGATAAATATCTTAAAGATTTATTTTTTTGCAACTACTATAACAGCACTTGTAGCACAACTGCATCATTTTATTATTATCTCAAAAAATGTATTAAACACAGCTTGGTAGGCATATGATCTTCAAAAAGTTGCTAATATATCCTAATACTTTAAATTTATTCATGTGATTTGCTAAGCTATATCATGACATATGTGCTGTCTAAAATATTGATGTTTTGTTACATTAAACTAGAACTTAAATGAGAAATAGCTGTGATGAGGATACATAATTTTGTATATGATAGATCCAGAGCTCATAGTAGTCATTAAAATGGTAAAAACCCGCCCCCACATTTTACTTTATGATATAAAAATCTGGCAATGTCAAACTAGACCAAATTATGTGGGACAGTTCTATAGAACACTTGAATATCTCTAGTACATCTTTGGGCCTACCTTTGGTTTCTACAGTTTGGGGAAAATTCTTTTGTTTCTTTGGGCACTTATGTTACCTTTAAACTTCATTCTATCATAATACTGTATCTGGTTTGGTTAAAAAAGACGCTGCAAGAATTGCTTCTGGATTTAGCATTGACTACTGCTATAATTTGGGTCTTGAGTGTTCCCCTAAGACTGAGGTCTTAAACATTTGATCTCCAGAGAAGCTCTATTAGAAGCTGTTGTATCCTATCATAAGTGGGACCCAGTGGGAAGTATCCAGGTATCATTGGAGTGTTCCATTAAAAGGGATTCTAGGAACTGGTCTTTTTGTTTGCTTCTCGGATTTTGATGTAATTCCAGCTCATGACCCTGTCATGATGTACTGTCTTATCACAAACATAAAATAGTGGAACAATTAATCATAGACAAAAATCTTCAAAATCCATGAACCAAAATGTATGCTTCTGTGCATAGCTTCATTTTGTAGGTCATTCTATAATAGTGAGAGAACACTAACACAACTTTCCATCTCTCTTCTTATTCATCTTTATCATCCAGTGGTGATTTCCAATTACTCCAGAAAACAGTTCAAGAATAAGTAAGAGTTATTTTATTTCTGAAATCATCATTTTCAGACTTTCCCTTGGTTAATACAGAACTGTGTTGAGGAAGGCATATTAAAGAAGAAGATTTTCTCTATACATCCTAAAAATCTGAAGAACAAGATAAAGGGCTTCATAATGAAAAATATGACAGAGGATTTCCAAAGCAAGACATACTCTTATTGTTGTAGGAGATCCAGAAAATAAATGTGAATTATTTTTTAAAGTTTCAATGAAATATCTGCCTATCTACTTCACTTTATAATGTATGTCATTTCCTAGATTCTGAGCTTTGATTTTAGTACATTTAAGATATTCTGCAACAAAGTCAAAATAACTGTTCTTTAAGACTGTGAAAGTCATTTTAGTACATTAAGTGATGGCAAAGAGAAAATAAAGAATACGCCTAACTTACAAAGAGATATACATTACTCAATCACTTTCTTCTCTTTTCCCTTAAAGAGGAAATATTTGAATAAGATAACAGTGACCTACTTTTTGTCACAGTGTCTATATCTAGAATATATTTTCACATATGAGGGAGGATACATGTATAGTGCTATTTATAAACATACAGAATAGCTAATTGAATAACATCTAATAACTCCACAGTCAAATTATCATGGTAAAAAATTTAGTAGCAATTTTCTTAGACTCCGTTTCATAAGAATACCCTGGTCATGAAACAAAATCAGACTGTGGAGGGCCTTAAAGGGGTTGCTTCAGGACAATTGGTGTGGGAGGGGCAGAAAAGATGAGAGGAAAGGTATATCTACTGAAGTACACTTTGTTAAAAATGGCATAGTGATATCTAATCTTTGTATGCTAATTTTAAAAAAAACAAAACATTAAAAATAAGTAAAAATCTCCCCAAATGGGCTTTTACAAGAACCTTGTGAAGACACCCAAATGTTGCAATGCTGTATGTAACTAGGAACAATGCTCTATTCTTATACTGTAATGATGAATTGCCCAGGTCCTTCATTCAAGTCATTGTTATAACAATTGAGGAGAATTATAGAAATGCCAGGAAAAAGAAGTAAGAGTATAACTGTGATTAAATTTTAGTAAAGAAATAGTCATTAGTGTGGCTGCCTTAAATGTGAGGCATTTTTTGATTTAATAAGTCATCTTTCCTTTCCAGTCTTCCCATGATGGCCTCATAATTTCCCTACTTATTACATACAAACACAGATTTTCACAAATGTTTTGCCAAAATAATCAAAAGAGAAAGGAAATGAAGGAAACAAGGAAGGAAGGAAGGACGGAAGGCAAGAAAGAAAGAAAGAAAGAAAGAAAGAAAGAAAGAAAGAAAGAAAGAAGTGCTATCTAAGATTGTTGAAATGTCAGACAACAAAGAAAGTGAGTAGGTAATATACCTGAAGGGTGCCTTGTCTCTGTGTAACACTAAGGAGTCCTGAAGTTGGTGCAAATCTTCTGATTCCATAATAGATACTCACATTTTATAACAAATACTAGTTACTATCAATGGAAAGAAAATTAGCTAAGCAAAAATATTTCATTGTATAATGAAGGCATATTGACATTAAGTAATAAAATAAAACAACATCAACATAAATAAATAACTTATACACTTTTTGGTGAATTGAACAAATATTGCCCCCATGGGCTCAAAGGGAGTGTCACTATTGGTAAGTGTGATCTTGTTAAGTAGCATTGTTAGAGGAAGTATGTCACAGGGTGGGTTTTGGGGTTGCTGAAGACTAAACTAGGCCCAGTGGTTCTTAGTATTCCTGCTGCCTGTTGATCCAGATATAGAACTCCCAACTTCTCAATCACCATGTCTGCCTGCCTTCCACCATGGTTCCCATCATGATGATAATGAACTAAACCTCTGAACTGTAAGCCGTCACCAATTCCATGCTTTCCTTTATAAATGTTGCCATGGTCATGGTGTCTCTTCAGAGTAATAAAACTATAACTAAACCATACTGAAATACAAATTATAATCAAGGAAAATCTTGTCAGTTTTCCACTCTGAAGCACATGCTTAATATATCCCTGAGCACACTCCATACATGTGCTAGAACATAGTGAGTATGAAGATCAGTGTCTATACTTGAGAGCAGACAACCCTCAAGTTACAGAGAGCAGGTCACAGTACTTATAGCTGAGCTATATGTTTTCTAGTTATGAGCATAAAATGGATTCCAAAGAAAGCTATAGGTTTATTTTGAACCCCTAAGTCTCCTCTTCTGCTTTAATTTTGTCTTTACCACCATCACTTCCTAACTTTTCTGCTAACATTGTTCCTTAAGGCAGGTGTGTGATAAATGCGGGTCTTATATTCCAGTATATAAAAAAAAAAAACCCTTAACCTTCAACCTAGCTTAACTATTTTACATTTATAAAAATTTTTTTCTGAGTGAATTACATTCCCTATTATTGATTTTTATTTTTTAAAAAGGAAATAATGCATAGCTCACAGAATCGTTGAAAAATTTCAAAGGCATTTAGGATGTGTTTTAGTGGGAGAAACTGTACAATAATGCTGGTTCCCTCTCCCTGAGGGATCCTGACCCCATTCTTCTGCAGAACCGCCATTTGTCTCATTTGCCAAATCTCTGCCATTTTATCAGCCCAGTCACCTGGGATGCCTTCCACCCTCCATTTTCAGGTCCTTTTAATTTCATGCCTGAACTATTTCAATAGTCTCTTGTCTCTGATCTCCAGCTTATGTCTTCTCTCACCCTCTTGTTCACTGTTGCCAGACTAATCTTTCTAAAGTATCATTCTGATGCTGCCATTTCCTTGTTTAAAAATATTTAAAGAATTTCTAATAGCTGCAAGGAGAATTGAAAACCATTCACTGACAACAAAGCAGTCTCCCACAGTATGAACTGGCTAACATTTAATACTTGGGGTCTAGGATCCTGGCATTTTGTACACATTTTCTATAATCCTCAGTGCACTGAAGCAAGGCAGGGTTGTTATTTATTTTTACAAACAGGAAATGGTGGATCAGACACCATTCAGAAATAGCTGAAATATGGCAGTTAGCAGGTACGAGCAGATAAAGGAGTCTTTGGTTTTGTTTCCCTATAACTGCTCTGTCCTTCTTTACATATCAAGTTCCAAGCCATTGCATCCTTCTTCTGTAGAGTTTACATTACTGTATTTTATTTGTTTCTAGCTATTTGTCTCCAGGATGGCATCACCCATTAGAACCCCTGGCAGGGAAGGGAACTGATTTCTTCTTTCATCCCTTAGACCATATCTTGAGTGGAAGGTATAGTCAGAAAAAGTAAATATTGATTAAGGAACTACTTAATTAATAATAGAAAGATGACATTAATGATATCTAAAATGGTACTTGAGATTCAAGAACAGTCTTAGGGCAATGGAGGTAATCTTTTTTTTTAAGATAGTGATGGTGTTTAGTGTGTGAGAATGGTGTGTGGGCATTAGATGAGAGACTGAGGATGAAAAGAAAACTGTAAAATTACATGATGGCTTTTACTTATCTTCCTGTTTTATTTTCTGATTAATAATTGTGGTATTTATTCATGATCAATTCACAGTGTACTTTGTATGTTATATAGGAATCTGTTCAATAGTAGCCTTATTTTAGAAGGAAATTATGTCAAACATCTAAAGAAGCAAATATCATTTTATCATTTACTTGTGGTATTCATGGTGATTTTTAAACAAACAGCAATATATAAGTATATATAATAATATATATGTATATTTTTATGTTAGTGTGTGTGCATGTGTGTGTGTGGTATTTCCTCTAGGGTGGTCAAGAAAAAATAGAGGATATTAATTTCTGCATCTAGGTTTTTCAAATATATTGTGAAGAAAAATTTAATAACAAAATGTTTACAAGTTCAACTATAAAATTTTACACACACACACACACACACACACACACACACACACACACTGACTCTTGAATTTAAAAAGAATAGACAAACCAAA